GCCGGTGGCGCCGGGCCCGGTCCGCGCCATCGCGGCGGGATGCACCGGACACACGGGCTGGAGCTGTTCCCCGGCCGCAGCGTGACCCTCCTCCTCTTCAACCACGTCAGAAATGCCGCTGCTCTGAGGAAAAAAGCCATGGAAGGATCCATTGAAGGAGCACTAATAAACCCTGCAGTGGTGAGTGAATTGTGTCATCCTGTTCGTACCGAGTACCTTGGAGACAGCGTGGAAATCCTCTGTGGGAACTCTGTGAAAAACGATCTGTGCTTGTAATCCCTGTCACACGCGTTGCTGTGCACGTACTTCGCTTTCTCTGCACATTTCATTATAGCGTGGAAGAGTGTGAGGGTTCCTCAGTGTTAAAGAGCAAGCCTTGGCAGGACTGGCCAAAACAGTTGTCATCTTGATTCACTTTCACATCCGACTTGGTGGAGCTATTTAAATCTACTTCCATCTGTAAAATGTAGTACTAATTGCTTAACACTGTCAAAAATCTACTATTTGGAATCTTTTTTCTCATTTAAACCTGAAACTAGTTTCTGAATCTAGTATTTTTCTTAAAATTAGCAAAGCAGTAGTTAGGGAAGGGGGAAAAAAAGAATCTAATCTGGCAATTTACTGACAGAAGATTTATTAGTGTGTTTCTTTTTTCAAAAGATGTCAGTAACCTGATTGAGAGAGTGTAATCTTTATGTCAAGTATTACTCGACACAAAGTATAATCACATTGACTTTGGCAGAGCAAGAATTGCCAAAATAACTAGAAGAATACTGTTTTGCTCACTTAAACGATTGCAGACTTAGCGGTCAGAATTTTGTCAGAGTTCAAAACAATATGTTAAATTTCTGTTTAACCTCTCCTGTTGTGTTTTAACAGATTGTAGATCCTTTTCAAATTCTTGTGGCGGCCAACAAAGCAGTTCATCTACACAAGATGGGTAAAATGAAGACCAAAACTCTCTATGCAGAAATTATTTTCAACCTTTCACCAAACAACAATGTAAGATTTACTGAACAAGTGTATTTTTTGCCAGAGAAGCTTGTTAAGATTCATGTAGACAAACTAAATACACATATTCACTTAACTGTTTACCTGGCTACTTATAGAAGTTACTGTTATTTTTAATAACACTAATATGCTGTTACCTCTTGTAGCTTGTGAGAATTCCATTAATGTAAAATGTGTGTCAATTTATACTCTTGGTATATTTGACCTAGTAACTGAAAAGGTTGCTTGTATGTAGTGAGAAGGTGACTCATAATATTTTGATGTTTTTCATCTTTTCTTAGATTTCAGATGCATTTAAAAAGTTTGGCATTTCAGACAGTGACACAGCAGTACTCATTGTTCTGGTTGTGGACGGAGAAAAAACTGTAAATCTGGAAGATATAGCATCTCAGGTAGAAGGCCAACAGGTTTCGCTAGATGAACTCCCCCAGCTAACGGACACTGCCAAAGTTAAAAAAGTACGTAGCCAAAAGAGAGAACTGGCGTGGAGAAAAGGGATAGTTTATTTAGTTGTCTGGTTAAATATCAATGGACATAATTAACTTAGGGTCTGTGTTTCTTTAGCATAACTGGAAACTTGTTTTAAGTGAACCTTGATTCTTTCTTTCTTATGATTTTTTTACTCAAAAAAAGTCATACCCTGACACCACAAATTTTAAGTCATCAAATTCTTAAGATTGTCAGGAAGTTGGAACATAAAAATAAATTCCAGATTGCTGCCTACCATTTAGGCACTTTTGCATCCTGTTTTCTCAAGCAAATATCCTTTTAATTAAAAATACATTTTCAGTCCTGAACAGTTTCATAATCTTAAGTACGTAAATAGTCCCAGCATGGGCGGCTAAAATAAAAATGTGTTGATTAGCTGCTAGGAGCTGTGTTAGGGCATGTGTGCTCTTAAGAGATTACCATATGCTAGGTAGGTATCTTGAAGCATATGTGTTTCACTTGATAAAATTCGAGTAACTTAAATCATCTTGATCATGTCCATCAAAGTAATGATGGGAGACATTTGAATAAAATTGGACAAATTATAGTGTATAATGTGGAGCTAAAAGTGCTGCTCACATTCAGTTTCTTAGCTTTCCGTTATGTCTTGCAGTTTCAGAATTTGCTTGGTTCCTCAATCCCAATTTCGTCTTGCAGTCACGACAAGATAGGAATTTCCAATGTAAAAAGTTGGGGAGAGCAGGAAGTCTTTTCTTGTGTACATATTTTTTGAAGATATGTGATAAATTGTTTTCTTTCTTACACAGTTTTTATGTTTTTCTTGTTCTTTTTTCTGCAGATGTACAAAATTACTCCTCAGGAAGAAAAAATCGGCACCTTATTGGATAGTATTGTTTGTAGAATGTCAACAAAAGATGTTTTATGAAATTGTGGAAATAAATTTTTTTAAAGAAAAAATAAGGCTTTTTAAGATGTAAAAACACTTCATTGCAATTCATCTTGCATTTCAGAGAAAGTGGTGTAGTACTGAGTAATTTGGTGAAATCTGAGCTTTAACCATATATGAGCAAGCTTGGACATGGGGGTAATCTGAGCTGTATTCTAAGCACAGGGAGCAATTCTTTTGCACAAAACGGGATTTGCCATTGGCGTTTCTGTCCGTTTTCTTAACAAGAGAAAAAAAATCACTTTTGCCAGCACCTGAAGCTGATGATAAACAGAAGGCTTGGAAATCTGTACTTACTTTTCTCTTTCATCAAATGTTTTGCTAGTCCCAGATAGGATTCAAACATTGTAAATAATTTTTATGAACCCTCCCCTCGTTTGTTTTGTTTTGGCACCCCTGATGGATGATATCCTTTTAATGATACTGCCAGAAAAGGTGTGTCTGTGGCACAAAGTACTGCTGCTGGACTAGAGAACGGAAAGATTCCACAAGCTATCAGCAGCACCTCCCTCTTTCTGCCTGTGGGGTAGACTCGCTGTGCACCCTTTGGGAACAGGAGGGGACAGGAGGGGCACCATGGCAACCAGTGGTGGGGGCACTGTGGGGCAGGGGCATCGGAGATGTGCAGAACAATGGATAAGGTCAGTATGGATGACGCTGCGGTGGTGTTGGCACCTGACAGTCTGATGTCAGTGGATGCAGTATGCTCCTGAAGTACCGGTATGTTGCTGTGGTACTTTTACTTTAGAACACAGAATTATGCATGGTGATGCTGACTTCCTAGGGCCTGGTTCCAGGTCCAGAACTTGCTGAGAAATTTGCACCATACATTTACTGACTTAAATTGTCCATATAACTTCCATAGCGCTCTGAAAGGATCATTGAACTTGTTTTGTTGAAACAGTGTTGGCAAGGGCCATCAAAGGGAACCAAAAAGGAAAAATTATTTCCAATAGTCACCGGGTCCAACAGCCTTGTGTCAGTATCATTTAACCACATGCAGGCATCCTGTTTAAGAAAAATTACTGTCCTAATTAGGTAGAAATCCATACTGTTCATTATTGTTCTGTTGTATTGTTTTTCTGCTACATGTCTAAAACTGTATAGCTGTCTGCATTTTTCTTTTTCTTCTTAATGTTCTCTGAGGCATTAGGATTTGTGTACTTAGAAGATATTTCAAAGAGTATGCCCCAGATTCTTATACATAGCGTTTGGGAAAACAGAATATATTTTGCAGGAGAGGCAAGTCCGAAATGTTACCCACTACAGTAAACAGACCAGCAAACTGACATGGGCACCTAGTATTGTCTTTGTTTCTGTATTTAATATGGAAATTCATAGCTTCTGGTTTGCATTTTGGTTTTGGTTAGTTCTTCTTCCCTCCATTAAAATACGGTAGTACAAATATAGTCCTTTTCTTACAAACCAAATCAATGGCAAAATACTTACCAAGTACCAAGGGAGTTAGAAGATTTATCAAAAGAAATTATTCAGGAGAAATGACTGTGCTGATTTCTTGCTTTACAGATGGTTTTACAGAATACATCATCCTTTCAAAAGGGAAATGTGAGGCAGTAGTAAAAAACAGAGCTTGGATGAGCTCAAGTCTTTTGAAATAAAACGTGCATAACATCACCATGTGAGAATGACCATGGAAAATAAAAGACTTGTTTTCCTTTTCTGACAGTCCAGTTGGTATATGGAGTATATCATCAGATTTGCTGGCTGAACTGCTGACATTGTTTTTGGTAGCTTAAAACAACAGCAGACAGGTACGCTTAGACCACAGCCTTTTTTGAACACGTGTAAAACGTCACTCTGGTCTGTTTAATATAAAAGAAATATTAATAAAGAGATCACTGCATAAAAATTGGTAAACACGTTCCAAAATTGTGTTCCCAGTTTCTAATTCTTGTCAGTCTATTATGTTGGTGTAAAAATAGCAAATAGCTTGTTACTGTTGACATTAATTGTATTATGAAACTGTGACTTACTGTGAGACCTGGATGAGCTATTTTCATAGGTGGATTTGCTGGAAGTTATTTTTCTGGGCTGTAGCCTCCATAGTATCATTCAGTGGGTTTTCCCCTAGTCCTAGTTGCATTATCTAACTAAATTAAATTCTTTACAAAAACTGGTAATGCAGATTTTTGACCCTGCAAAGTTACGCTTGTCTTTCTGAACACATTAAAAAATTGTAAATTTGGATCTATAATGTAACTGTTAAGTCAACCACCACTGTTTTCCACTAAGGTAAAAGTTTAAGGAAGAAAGAAAGGTAGGTTTTCAAAACATTGAATGTTCTGCTGCTGTCTCCTTTGAACTTTCATACCTTGTCTCTATCACAAGGTGAAAGAGAGGAAGCTGAAGCATTTTCAATTATACCTGCAGGATTTATAAATTTAGCAGGTAAATCCAAAAGTATGATGTGTGGTCTGTTGTTCTAGCTTTTTCTTCTTTTTTTTTTAGGTGGGGTGACTGTTGGGATTTGGGTTTTTGTTTTTTTGTTTGTTTGGGTTTTTTTTGCCTGTGCTGCCTTTTTAACACTGTATACGACACAAATGGAGCAAAACCAGCAGCCTGTGCTTCTGAAAGGCAATGGCTATAACCTTGTGCTCCACAGGACTCACTTTCCTGCTTTAATGCTTTGCAATACATGAGTTTCTTAGGGGGGGGGGAGGGGGGGGAATTAAAAAAAAAAGAGAAAAAGGAGATAGGGCAAGAAGAAACAGGCTGTACAAAGCCATCTTTTACAATGACTTTGTAATACTCAGTAAAGCCAGCAGGTTTTAGTTTAAGACAGTTCCCAGGCATTCAGCCTAGGCAGATCCACTGTATGTCCAAACTGCTGGCCTGTCCATAACAGATAGACCTCTGGGCATGTGGCAGGAATGATGAGCCCCTGGGCATGTGGCAGTAATGCAGACACAGGATCAAGGGAAACTTTCCTGCCCTGTCATGATGGAGGTAGTAGTCTTCCCCTCAGGGAAGCTGTCCAGTAGCACAGCCAGCAGCCTTCACCTGTGGGCTGGCGTGTCTGTGCAGGATCAGGTGTGTGCACATCTCATGGCTGGGGGGAGTGTGTTGGTGTTTTGCCAATAGGCAGGGTCAGCGCAAGGGACACAGACACCAACTTAAAGAATTGAGCTCATCTTATGGTTAAAGCAATAACAATAAAATAATAAGTAAGAATAAAACAGAATAAGGTAACATAATTCAAAGTAATAAGATAAAATAGTACAGTACAAAGAAAGTAAGACAGAAACCATGGTGATTAAATAAGATACATCACCAATTGCCCTCATACTTTACCATCATCCAGATCCACAGTCACTGGGGAGCCCCGGTTGCAGCGAGGATCTGGAGAACCTGTCCAAGTAACTGGGAGGTCCCACACCATGCATCCACTCATAGGTGAGTTCTCCAAAGTTGCAGTGAGAGGGTTCAGCTTTTTATACTATTGAATAAACAAGGTTACATTACTTCAAATGTGGAACATCTGGCATCATTCTCCATTAGATTCCCCCCCAAAACCTGTCCAGGGCTCAAGAAGGAACCAAGGGAGTTTCTTTATCTCTTTGGCTTTGACCACATTGTTCCAACTAAGGCCGAACATCTGGTCCTACAGCCGTGGCAACCTGTCTCCAGACATGAAAAGAAGGTACAGTCTCAGGACATTTGATCTTCATTAGTGATTATACTTTAACTAGGCTATTTGCTAATGAGGATACATACTTTGCTAATGACCAGGTGCTATCCTTATACATTGTTCTGTTGGAGGGGTTCATCTAGAAGTCAGCTTTGGTTGGAGGCCTGTTGCTCAGTCCTCAGGACTTCAGTTGGCACATG